TTTTGAAATTAAATTTAGAATAAAAGAATATGAAATAATCGATGTAAAATACATTTAAATGTTTTATTCTAAATAAGTAGATGGACTATTTATGATTAATTGCTCAAGTATTTAAAGAGGATTTTTGAATATCTTAATATATACGTTTGTACTGAAATTGTATTTAATTTTGATAATATAAAGTTGATACATTAAAGTATGTGTTTAAATATTAGAAATCAATAAATTAGTTTAGAATTTGGATAAGTCATCATATTAATGAATTGATATAGCATTTTAATCATTAAAAACAGTTTTTATAGCATAATAAACGGTAAATCTAATTAAAAATTTAGCATAAATAATTATTACAATTATATAAAGAAGGAATGGAAAAATCGTTAAAATTAGATTGGTTTGGTAATAATGTTTTATTTAAATTATTTTTATTGCGACGTAAAAAAGATTAATATATGTAAGTACTATAGTATCCTGCGCTGGTTGCCCATTTATATTTAATTGTTGTGTTGAATAAATAAATTTGTATATTATTTTAGATATCATCGCCCTTTAAAGGAATAGTTGAATGTTTTTTGAATTCTTTTAGAAAAATAGTGTTTTTCTTTTAATTAATTACAAATAGGTACTATTGATTCTCTTCTAAATGTCCCTCTAAAAATTATCCATACACGTAATTTTATAAATTGTAAAAATTTAAATCGTTTTAGAAAGTAAAAAGTTTGTGCGCCAGAATAAAACTTTAGTTTTCGATGAATGAAATATGTTTGTTGATTGTTCACTATTCAGTTTTATTATTGGTTTTCTATACGAGAAATCGTCATGTCAGTGGAACATTACAAAACAATAACTTGCAAAAATTATAAACTTTCTAAAAGTCATTGAGATATATTAATATATTATTGCGCTTATATATGTATTTAGAAAATAAAATAAAAGCAAAATGTATCATAGAGGAAAATTTGAATTCAAAACTAAGTCAGAACCAGCTAGATACCTACAACTCTAATATATTGTATATTTTTATGAAACAAAAAATATTTGTTAATTATAACACAAAAAAATTTTTAAGGTTTTATAAGTAATATATATTAAATAATAATAATATAATATTGAATTTCTATAACATCAATTAAATTAATATTTTTCAGGAGTTAAAAATAGTTTACAATATTGACATTTAATTCCGCTAATATGGATATTGTGTACAATTTCCATTATTATGGATTATATTATATACCAACGTAGCATAGGACATATATTAAAACTCAGCAAGTGACATTTGTATAGTTTAATATATAAAACAAAGATTGAAACCATGTAGATAAAATGTAAAAAAAATTAAATAAATCAATTGGTTTAACTCGTAAATTGAGGGTAAACAAATAAACCAGACAGGACATAGGTCATATAGAAACTATTGTTTGAAATTTGTCTTTTTTTGCTCACATTTCGCATTGACCCTACAGGATAATGGGTCATAATGTCATTTAATCATAAATAACTGCTTTTGAAAAACGATTCTGATTAGAACCACAATAGTTGCTTTGAAACGTATTTTGCCTTCCAATGTAATAGATTTCCCGCACGCTTAGAAAAACTATTTAGATAATCTAAAAATGATCTGTTCAAAGTACCATAAGATAAAATGTCCAAAATATAATAGGTATACATAAATATTGTTGACCTTTTAGGTAGAATATGGTAGCGTTTAGTGCTTATCTGCGCTACCTTTTACACATAACGATTCCATTCGTTAAATTAATTTTATTACCAAGGGTTGTTGCCAAATAGTATCAATTTAACAGTTTTATGTAAGTATGTAACTAAAAAGATAAAATAAATCTATTAGAAAACGCATGGTCCGGGATTCTTAAACAAAATGTACAATAGTTAATTTCATAGAGGTCACTCATGGCAATACTCATATAATGATGTTAATATTAATAGAGATTCGAGTGAACCAATGATAAAAATGTGTTCAATGTCAAAATGTATCTTTAAACAACTCCTCCATAATATTTTAAAAGTATTCAATTAAAATATAATATCATAAAATATATAAAATCCATAGAAGTATTTTTATGTTTTTATCTTTTATTGGCTATAAATATATTCCAAGAAAAATATTTATTTCAAGTTGAACGATGGATTTTTTAACGAGTTTACTTAACCGTTTTCTATATTTTAATTATTTTAATTATGATGTTACTAAAAATATTACGAGATTGATTAATGAGTAAAATTAATTCACTTTTTCCCTTAAAGTATTGTTGGATTTTTTTTTAAGCCGCCGAAAAACATTTAATTCGATCGTGTTATTGTATAATTAGTAATTATATTTGTAATTATTAATTATACAACGTTGACAACGTAGGAGCCTACTATTAGTACCAACTTAGTAATCAATCATGTCATATTTAAAGAATTATAAATATGACATAAAATATATTATACCCAATGTTGTTCTCAAAAAGGTATATAGTCCGCAATCGGGTTATACGCATAGGTGCAACTAGGGTTAAAATTATGGGAAATGGTAAACCCCTACAAATGTAGGTAATCTCCTACATAGACATAGTGTTAACTTCTAAAAAAGATAATGTCGACTCCTACAAACGATAGTAAAATAATAGTAAGTTTTTAAAAAAAGTCAAATTAATTTTTAAAAAGGTGGACAAGTGAATACCGCTTGTTGTTTCCTCCTAGCATACTTATATAAATTATCAAAGTTAATCATTTTCTTCAGTTTAAATCGTTTAACTGTAGGAGTTTACATTTGGCCAAAATTATTGGGGGAGGGGGACGCTACAGTCACAACTAAGAGTGTAAGACTGTTAACTTAAAATTACTCATTGGGAGTTCACCCCCTCACATGCCATCAGACATTTTTGATTTTGAGCGAAGTGAAATTATATGTTGGTTAGAGTCTGGGTTTAATTGGGTGTTTTTTTTATGTTTGTGACACTATTGCGGTGAGTCAAGTAAGCCAATCATGAAAATAATCCACTCGAAATGTCATAACACCAACCACTATAATATATTATCAAACTGTTTTTTTTTTTTGACATTGAATACACATAAATTGATTATGTAACTCGAGAAAAAACAAAAAAAAATATTTCACGGTCTACTTATGTTTGGGTTAAATATTATCCAGAGGACGATGCAAGGTTTCCTCCCTAGCCACCTAGTTGATTCACTGGTTCTGCCCCTTTTTTATTACCTTAAAAAGTATCTATAAAAAATAAAAATTACTGTAAGATCAATTCATTCCCCAATCCACCCAAAGTTAAAAATAAAAATTTGAATCTTTGTAAGCCTTGTTAGAATTTTAGAATATTTAATTATAAAACTTTTTATCTGGTAGTATTTAATACTTCTTAGAAAGATAGTTTTCAAATTTATCATTATTATTAAAATTGAACTTGATTTCAACAGAATCTATTTTGGTGTTTTTTGGTTGTAATTTACAAACTCTTACACTAGAAACTTTGAAATTTCTAATTTTTTCAGTTATTTTAATTTATTAGGTAGGTGACAAGATGATTTATTTGAATACAGTAAATTTGGTCGTTACATACACTCTAGTTGAGGAAAAATCTAAAAATCAGTTCGTGATTTGTTTTTCCACCAAGTAGGTAATACAATTTAACATTCAATATTATTAGAATAAACAATTTCCTGTGCATGTTTTAAATAAATATTTCATCAAAATTCACCCATTTTAGCTTTCAAATGTTTATACAATTCAATTTCGGCATTTTGCGATATGTGAATATTTATACAAATTATTATCTTGGATATATTTTGTTTCACTCTCATACGAATTGTGTGTATTCATTTATTTTTTACAAGCGTTATATGAAAACTGAATACGGTACTTAATTTATCTGTGTAAATTACTTTTATTTTTATGACAATATTATATAAATGTTTAATATTATATTGGGTCACAATTTCAAGTGTATAACAATATAAAAAAATAATTAAATCATATAAAATACGACGGAAAAACTTTTAGTATAATATTACGAAAGGATTTTCTTATTATTTGGCACCGTTGTTGGCGATAAATTAACATTTTTTTATTATGGTAAGTATAAGACAGTAGACGGTACAAATTGTTGCATCGATAAATCATAAGAATTTATTATTGTGGATTACTATAAAATATATTGAATATAAATTAGTATGGTTATAACGGTTATAATAATATTGTCGTTGTTTTGTCGTTGTTGGTTTTTGATATTATGTGCGCAACAGGTACGAGAAAAAAGTATCTTTCCTCTATCGTCATATTTCTTGAGAAAACAAAATGCCAATTTAAAATTCGAATTTAAGTGTGTCACTTAATTCGCACAAATATTTATTTTAATTTTTAATCTCGATATATTGGCTTCGAGTAAACATTATATTATATTCTGACGAACAACAAACACGACGGTGTCGTGAACTTCCTAAAATATTACATTATTCTCATATATAAATTAACGGTTCGTTCCGAATTCGTGTTTGGGCTAATACTTCACCTACCCAGTTAATGGCATAATATACTATTGTTACTTTATGTATATATGTTTAGATATTATAATTTATATTTGAGTAAAATTGAGCAGGAGCGTCATTTCAGTTGTTGGTGCCAAAAAGTTAGCAGTTAAATAATTACTAAGCCTACCATAACTTAAACTTATAGGTTATAACTTGGCAGCATATTCCAGGTACATATATTACTTATATTGCAGTACAATTACAGTAGGTACATTGTATTAGACGCAGGCGATACAATTTTTATTGCCTTCGTCATATTTTTGGAAAGTCGTTAAAAAAAAAATAGGAACGACCCCCTCCCCCCACCAATGACGCAGATGAAACCGTTTGGCGCCAAAAACCGAAACGCAGGAGCGTGGTAGGTAATATGCGGATGGAAACGATCGCGGTAAAAAAACTCGTCCGAGCGAGCTCACTTCCTACGAACCGGAAGCGCGCACGTGTCCACTCACCGATGATGATGGGCACCTCGAACGGGCTGATCGGGGCGACGCCTTGGTCGTCGTACCTGTTGTACGGCTGCTGCTGTTGCTGCGGCTGTTGCTGCTGATGGCGTGGCGGCGCGTACATGGGCCTCGGGCTGTAGATGACGGGCAACATCCTGTCCCTCGGGTCGGTGATCAGCGGCGGTTCGTAAAACGTCTGCCGGGAGTCGGCACCGTCTCCGCCGCCGCCGCCGCCGTCGTCGTCGTCGTAATTGTAATCGAAATTGTTATTGTTCTGATCCAAATCGTTGTCGTCGTCTTCGTTGCCACCACGTTGGCGTTTGTCCGGCCGGCGTTTGATGGTCGTCGCGATCGTCCGCTTGACGCCACCTCCACCTCCACCGGCACTGCCACCGCCGCCGCCGCCGCCACAACCCAGCGTCCTGGCCGTCAGGTGCAACAGACACTTCCTGGAGTCCTTGTACTGGTGGCTTTCCAGGTTGTGAGAGCTACCGCCCCTGACCGGCGGCGGGTGTGCCGCGAACAGCGCCACGACGCCCAGCGCCAACAGGCCGCCGCCCAGCCGCAATCTTCGGTTTAGCAGCATATCGCGACCGCTGTTATGACCGTGGGACGGCGATCCGAAGATCACGGCGGCGACGGCAGCGGCTGCGACCGGACGGCGTTTACGTGCGGTTTTATACACGGTTGCGGGAGACTGGTCGCGGAGCACGACGGTTACGCGGCCCGCGATGTGAACGACTGACTGGCTGACTGACAGCCTGCCGGCCGCCACCGCCACTGCCGCCGCTGTTGCCGAGTGGCCGCGCGCAGCGGTGTGTCAATGCAGCAGCAATAGTCGCAGTGGCGTAAGGATGTTACTATTGTTTCTTGGGGGAGGGCAGTGGCGGCGGAGGCGACTGGATACGTGAGTGCTGGGTCGAGAGAAAGTGCTCTTTTTGAATACTTATTCGTACTATATATCGTGTAAATAGCGGCAGATTAGGAACCTACGCTGCGACGGGATTTCGTCTCGTGGTGGTGAGCGGGTGACTCGAGCCGAAAGCGTGAGAAAAAGAAATTATACTAATAACGATAATGGCAATAATAAAAAAAAAAATTCAACGAGAGAGAGACAATGTGCTAGAGGCAGAGAGACGTAGTGAGAATCTGCGGAGGGAGAAAAAACAATCGTACTCGTGAAATACTCGCGCGTATATACGACTGTTTCAACAGATGTCCTCCGGAGCGCTCGCGGTCGTTGGCATGACGCGTCTGCCGGGTCGTTTGGAATGTGTCGGACTGAAGGGACTCTGCGTGTGCGTTGCTCCATGTTGCCGGCAGGCCGCTGGCCCACACACCCACACACCCTACTCGCATGCGACATCCCTTAAAATTGCCCGGCTTCAGTGTGCGCGCGCAGCGCACGGGGTGAGGAAATGGGTCATCCGTGTGGGAGATATGTATATGTATATATATATATATTTATTTTTTCCTTTTCCCCTTTCTCGTTCGCTGGCTTTCTCTCTCGCTCGCCCGCTCACCCTCACACACACATGCACGCACACTCGTCCACGTCTCTCACTTTCTCTCTCTCTCGCCCCCCCCCTGTGCTCCCCGAGTTTCCCCGACCGGCGGCATCCCTTCTGAGAGCCGCGGATGATACGGCGAGCGTGCGAACTATCTACATTAGGCCCGACGAGAAAAGCCCGTGGGTGTATTCGTGACAACGCTGTTAATCACCGCGGGTTAATTTAAGTTAATTAACAAGCTATAGTTAATTGGATTTATATCGAATGGACCGTCTCAAAATACCTATATATACGCAGTGTGATATACAAACGCGCCGTGTGCCATACCCGAGAATCAATTTTGCACCGAACAGTGTAATATATGGAATCATATATACAATATATATATTTTTTATAGTATTACCTATTAGTATTTGTTGCCATTCATTTTTTTTTTTTATCCCTTCGAGTACCCGCCATTTATTGTCATTGATATCTGTATAACCGGCGAATGTGATTTACGTCGGTCGTCGAGCAATCAGCTTAACGTCGACGTGCACCTACCTACATGTTATAGCTGAACGTATTTGCTATGTTTGAGGAGGATGCCTCCTAATTTTTGGCCAACGTATTTTAGTTATTTTTTAAACATGTGAATTTACTTAAAATCCGTTCTACTTTCCCTATTTTTTTCTTTGTTTTTAATGATTCTAGGGGTTCTTAAGCTTAAAAATAACAGCAATGTTCAGCTGGGCGATTTTGAGTATAATGTTGCTACTTAAATAGTTAAATTAAAAGTACAACCATCCAATTAATTTTGTGGGGGTAATTTGTATACAAATGGCTAAAATTATATTAAATTAAATTTAAATTAAAATGAGTATAATATTTGTTTGGTAATTGCCTGTATTATATACACTTAACCTGTATTAAGTCTATAAGCGTATTTTTTGATAATAATTTAAAAATACTCTATTTTTATATATTTCAAAACAATAGAAACTCCGTATAAGGTATATTATTATTAGGCACGTCGCAACACGTCGCAAAAAGAATTGATTTAATGATGTAAAGGCTGAAAGTTAACCAAGTCGTTCTTAGATCCTGAGTTTCCATTTCAAACTAACAACATTATTTATTAATGATCTTAAACAAAACAAAAAAAGCGTTGATTAATATTATTAATAAGGATGAAAAGAAAATCAAACTTCAAAGTAGGTAATAAAAAAATGAATGACGAAAAAGTTCAAGGAAAGTAATCAATAATCTACGGTTGTATTAACAATAATAAATAATAAATGTATAATGATTTGTTCCTAATTTAAAAGTACAGAAAGAAATATTTAAATATTAAACACAATAATTTTAAATATTTATACATAGGTAGATACTGAAAAAAAACCACGTACGTAGTAAAATACTTCAAAACATAAAAATTAATTGATATATATAACATAGGTCAAAAGATATTATTTATATACAATTTAAAATTGTTTAACTGCCGGGTGTAAAGCCACACCTACAGCTGGACTTTAAACATATTTTTTAAACAGGGAAGTGTTCATATTTTATTTTTATTTTATAGTGCCACTTGTCATTCACATCAGTCGAGAGCCACCGAATTTACTTCCAGGACCTAAGTATAGGTATTATAGCTTCGTGCGTATTTCTGGTCCATTGGCAAGTATACTGTATTTTGTATATTATACACCGGTAGGTTTGCAAAGACTATAATATTATTTGTGTCCATAGAGCAGAGATTGTTAGGCAAAGGGTTTTATCGGGACGAAACGCTTGGATGGTTTGGGATTTGGGTACCTATTTGAGAATTTTGGCTGTGCCCCAGGCTTGGATGACATTATGATTTAGAAACATTGAAAAATTATGTCACAAGAGGAATTACAGCAGGCTCACTTTTTACTTTGGTTGAAAATCATAAACTATGAAAATGCAACATAATAATATTATACACAAACTAAATATACAAATGTTCGAATGTTTGATGAAGTTTATGTACTATCGAGTATTGGTAATTAACATATATTAAGTAAGCAACAACAAAATTTAAAATATTCCCTCAACCTACTACAAAGTAACAAAATCTGAATTAAGTGAATTATAGATTTAAGATATCTGAGATATCTCGAAAACAATAATAACTTAATCTTCTTATATCACAAATATTTTATTCAATTCAAAGTTACAGAGAAAATACTACTGATAGATTTTTTAGTATGGAAAAAAAGTAATTTTAAATCATTGCTTTATTGAAACTGTTTACAGGTTTTTACCTAAAGCCGGTAATTTCCCGAAATGTTATATATAATAGGTTTAATTTATTTTAGCTACATAAATAATAATACGCTCATACCTACTATAATAATTTAATAACTTTTTTTTTTTTATTATTATTATTTTAGAAAATTTACAATCTGTATTACGTGACACAATAAGTAAAATAGATGGCTGACATAACACTATATACATACCTCTTCTTAAAACTATTCTTAAATCATATCACATATATTTGTAATACAATTTTTTTTAGAAAAATGATATTTAATCGGTTACCGGTAACTGACATTTTTTTGAAGCGTTGTCGCTTAATCGGTTACCTGTAATCTTGAAATAGAACCTACCGGTAATAGATTAATGCCAACGACAAGGTAGGTTTACAACCGGTAACCGGTATCAACAATTTTTTTGACTGACAATTTATATAACGGTTTTAAGCCATGTCTTAAATACTATCGAAAAATAACTCATCAAAGTACTAACAAGACTTGACTTGCATGACTTTATGCACTCTAAAAATTTTAGCAGTATCGTAAAAGTAAAGGTACATAAAATAAAATGAAAAGATGAATATCATTGTAAAACTTTGTGTTTGTTGAACACTGGACCGGCTTCATTACTTTTCAAAATAATTTGTAATAATGTGAATCTATAAAAAAAAATAGCCAATACATTTTTTGATTCTAATAAAGCTATAAAAGGGGCTACACGATGTGAACGATAGTTTGGTGTTATGGGTTCTTAAATTCAAATCATCAACTTAAAAAAAAGTATGAAGTAACTGATACTTTTTAGATTTCACTAGAAATTTTACCTATTGAAAATTGTATTATTTTTAATTCACATTTTTTTAGATAATATGTCAAAATAAATGTTGTTCGGATCACAAATATTTCTCTTTAAATACTTTTTGTTATTTATTATTTAATATTTTAATACTAGCAACTTTCAGATTTTAATAATGATTTTTTTTTTTTTTGTAAGACGTGAGATGAATGAGGTATGTTAACAAAATACTGACTTCTAAAATATTACATGGAATTTAAATATTTAATTAAAATATTTATTTTTAATTTTAGTAACTATATAAATAGTATAAATATATTTCGTTTTGCTAAAAAAATATACCGGCTCGGGTTTTAATGAAAGAGTGTAAAATCTTCAGATTATTAACTATTGTTAGGTTGAAATATTTAAAATAATTAGTTCTACACAATTAACTTTGAATTAAATACTTTTTTAATTTTGCGCATTTATTGTACCTTAATTCATTGTCCCCATTCATAATTATTTAGAATCCATATTTTTAGAGTAGCAATATAAATGACATGCACGATAAAAGTTACATAACAAAATATATAATGTATATGGTATAATATATTTGTATAGTGAGTGTACAATGTATGGAAACCTTGAAAATAAAACATCTAAAAACATAAAAATAACAACCCAGTTAGGTAATATCATTCTAATAATAGTAATATTAGCCATAATTTAAAATTACAAAAGGTCGTAGGGATGGCTATAAAATAGTTAGGTCTACTAAACATATCATAGTATAATAATTATAGTTATTACATTTTACTACCTGCCGTAAATTAAATACACTATGTAATACCTACTGATTATTTAATCTATATTTATATTAAAAAATATAATTTTACAACGAACTATAGCATTTTTGTGGTTAGTTTTATATATTATTATTATTATTAACAGTAGGTATAAAACTACAATTAATTTACCTCGATAATATAATATAATAAATAATAAACTATAACATTATTAGTTATTACACTTA